AAAAAGAAAAGGAACAAATGCAAAGTTCGTCGTCGGCTGACGTGCTTCGAAAAGAAAGACAGATATGCACATGTGTTGTACATGTATATAGTATAAATGAATCTCGTGTCGGCGAATCGCATATTGTAAAGTGTCTCTGACGCGCGATTTAAGGCTCCCGTTGCAAAAGTGTATTTTCAATATTATCGCTGAAATATACGCTCGTGCAATGTTTGTTTAAAACGACGATCGCACGAGAAACATCTATCCTCAAAGAACTGTCACTCTGGGATCGCTATACTGACGGGTCTACGGGTGAATAATATTGTCGCTCTTTACGTGCTACCATACAGACACATGCGGCAGAAAATAGTCTAGGCATTCTTTTCGCGATACACCCTACACATCGTTATTCAAAAGGAACTTCGATTGAACTTTATTACATGTTTCTTTCTTTCTTTCTTTCTTCCTTTCATTCGTTTCTTTTCTTCATTTCTTTCTCTTTTTTTTCGTCTTTCTCTGTATGCGTATATGCGCGTGTACGTACGTATGTGTGTGTGTATGTATGTATGTGTGTATGTATGCATGTGATTGTGTCGTTCTTTTCCCTTTTTTTTTTATCTTTCATCTCGTTTGTTCCTTGCCGCGAAGGCCGAACGCACGATGACCTCCTCGATAATGGCTATACCGACTTTGGATTTTCAAAGCGAACCAATTTTGAAGTAACGAAGAACCGTATATCGCTAGGTACTAATTCTTTTTAAAGAAGGAATCGTTCTCTAGTTTCGACGCACTCTGTTCGTTCTTTTTTTTTTTTTTTTTTTCGCTTCCTCTTTTCTTTTTTTTCTTTTTTTTCTTTTATCTGGAAAATATACGCGCGGCAGGCGGTTGCTTCCGTGCAACGGGGAAGGGATAGAATCGAGCCGGGATCCGAAGGCAGGACCACCGAACGCAACAAGTCCTCGCGCTTCGCAAGCTCCTCTCTTCCGTCGAAGAATAAAGTCGGCTCCGCTCTTAAATGCTATCCCTCGCTAGAACCCTCGCTCTAGAACGTCTTTTCTCTCATTTTCCTGGTTTACTCGCGGCAGTTTCGCCTGGTTGTCGATGCGACTTCCAACCTATGCCACGACGACGACGACGACGACGACGACGACCGTCGTACACGCGAGATTGTCTAAAGCTACTCTTTTTTTTTTTCTTTTTTTTTTTCTTTTCGCTGGCGTGGGCTGGCGTGCCTGGAGAGTCAACGAACGGGCCAAGGCTGCGACGACGACGTCACGACGACGAATAATTATCAACGCCTCCCAACTTCTTTTCCGCTTATCTTCTTCTTGTTTTTCTTCTTCTTCTTCTTTTTCTTCTACTTTAAATGAAAATTCGTGAGGAAACGAGTAAACACATTGGAATAGAATCTGCGAGGGCACAGCTCGGATCTGTAGTTAGCGCTTGGTGCACGGGGATTCGCCGGTTGCAGATAAGGCCTGAATAGTTAGGGTTTGCTGTTGTCGTTGTTCAACGACAACGGATCGGTGATCTTCTGCTGTTGTTGCTGCTGCTGTTGCTGCGTCACCTCGCTCACTGCACCGCCGCTCATCAACTTCGCGTTGTTGTTCTCCGTGTTCGATACTTTCGCGTACTCCCGTTTGCGTGGCATGTTCTCTGTCTTCACGATCGTGATGTCCGGGTTGTTCTCCAACACGGAGGTGGCTGGTTTCGGGACGGGCGTCGGTACCTCGATGTAACCACCTCCTTCTCTCTTGATGGGTGTCGAAGTGGTCGGTGTCGCTGTGGTGGCCGCGTTCGCGTTGATTTTCTGCAGTATGTCGTTCACCGACTCGTTGTTCTCCGGCGTCTCGTTGTTACCATCGATGGCACCGGACGCCACGCTCAAGTCGCCGGCCAGCGAAATTCGGTCCGGGCCCTGCAGCGTCGACAGATAGGTGGCCAACGTGTGGACGGTCACGTTCAGGAACTCAGCTGCACGGAACAACGTGATTTCTTTCCTTCGTAGCTTGGCCAACACTTCCGCCGGGCCTGGCTCTGACCAAAAATCCCTTACTCTGTAAGACAGATTTGAAATTTTAAAACTCTCTACTTCCGTTTGGTAATTCTCGGATGACTAAGAGAAAAGGTTTCCCCGAATACAATAGAATAGAATAGAAAATTTAATTAGAAAGATATACTAGAATTACTTGTGCCTTGATTTATACGAATTTAATCATAAATACAGCTTTGTAAATTTAATAAATTTTTGCAGCCGAAACCATGATAAAATGAAAGTGAAATTCTCTGCACGATCCCTTAGTCTTTCGTTTTAACTTAAAGCCTAGTCTTTCTACGGATAAAATACTCGAAATGAAGGAAAAGCGTACTTGAAGCACGGCAACGTAAAAACGAAGCCGAACGAAAGCGGGTTAATATACGATTTCATTTGGCAGCGCGATTATTCTCGAATTTATTCCCAAGAAAAATTTCTCGTCAACTGTCGATACACACCGTTAGATTGCGGTGTGTATTTGAAGTGAGTGAAAATGGAAAACAGGAAAAAAAAAAAAAAGAGAATGCAACGTTTGAAGATGGGATTTCCTATAATCATCGAGCGCCTGCGCTTCCAGACGCATGCGCATTGAACGTATTCACACAGTGGAAAAGGCCCACCTAATATAAATGCAACTCGGTTTGAAAATCGCGTGTAAAAAAAAAAAAAAAAAAAAAAAAAGAAGAAGTAGAAAAAGAACAAATAATGCTTCATTCGGTAAAATATCTCACGTTAAGATATTGATGCTTATAAGAAATCTTGCCTTTGGAGCCACACGAAGCGATAGTAAATCTCTCGACTATATAAGATGAGCATGGATCTATATAAGATGAGCAAGGATTCCTAATCCTTTGAGTGTTTAATCTAAAAATAGATTAAAGATACTAGAGTGCCGTACAGATAATGAAATAATTCAAGAATGTTTAAAATAGTTATTCGAAGTTCAAAAAGACTAAGATATAACAATACATTAAATATATATATATATATATATATATATATGAAATATACATTTAAAAATGAGTATATTGTTGATTTGTTGTATGTTTCTCATTTTTAGACTTTTGGCAATTTCAATAAACACACGTTTGCGCATGTGTGTGTTTCAATCTTTGCTTGATACACGTGTATACGTTTGAATAATGCGATCTCTAGTCTAAACATGATACATAGCACAATACGGTCGTAAAACAGGAGGAGACGGCAATAAGTAGTAACCAGTCGCGACGAAGGCAATCAAAAAGCGACAATCGTCGTGTCGTCGGCTGCAAGTCTGTTTCCATTACCTATACGGATGTTTAAGGCAACCATAACTGTCGCGATATCTGCCATAGAGTGTTCCGTAAGACACGCCAAGTATCTCAGCGGCGGTCTTCATTTCCAGTTCTTTGCTCTTAATGGCGTCCATAACGCGTCGCGTGAACGGCTCCTCCCAGAACTCTTGGCGGCGTCCCGTCGTCAGGTAATCGTTCATCTTCACGACGTCTCGGAATTGTTCAGGGATCGATGGATTCGTGGCGTTGGAATTCGAGGGTGTGGTAGGCGCTGCGGCAAAATCAAACCACATTTAGACTCATCGTGCCTTCGAACAGGTCGCATAGTGCCAATAATTAATCCATAGTGATGGACAAAATTCGTGATGTATGGATCTTACTGATCGACGTGTTCAAATAAAAAGGAGAGACCTTTTTTTTTCAGTATAACACGCAACAAACGCCATCGAAATGACTATTTTTGGGTAAATTTTAACGAATCTACGTTTGTACAAATGAATATATATTTGTATTTGTATACATGGATATTGCAGAGGATGAATTTTGTGCAGCCACTTGTATAGAGAAAACTCGAGTATGTTTGCCAGTGTGTGCAGAGTAAGTTACACACGCCTAATAGACGACTAGATTTTGTTCGATCGACCAAGTCACGTACCTTTCTTTTCCTGGTCGGATGCGCTGTCATCCTTCGACATGTACGATAGCTGCAAAGTACGACGATACACAGTGCTTGTTAAAATATCATCGTAGGGCGTTTAACCGAAGCGATCGTAGATGGAAGTAAAGAGGAAAGAGGTTGTTTCTTACCATCGGCAGTGGCGTTTCGTTATTTTCGTTCATCATCATCTCGTCGTCCCAACTCTCGTGGTCACCGCCCTCGCTCATCATTTCCTCCTGGGAAATCAAGAATATTTGAAATACACGCGTCAAATAGTGGAAACCTACGCTTCGTATAACTGTCGACTGCGATCGATCAGATGGAGAGGATTGATCCAGCTATGGCTCGATTTTTTTACATCTTTTGGAAATATTGGCTTTACTTTACGCGTTGAACATTGATGTTAATTGAACTATGTTTAGCTTTACATGTCTGATATTTTTCTCATCGACATTTCTTGACAAACGACAATCAAAATTAAGTTTTCATTCTCGTTGAAATATTTGAAAATCCATTATACCAGATATTGTAGATTCGAATGTTTATGTGTCTCTTTCATATTACACGTGCACTCTGTGTGATCTTTCACTTTCAATTTTTTTGCAAGTGTATAAAAATCTAGTCTAATTTTTCGTTTATTATTTATTTGTTAAGCCTAACCAGAAAAAACGCATCAGTTGAGGATTAATTTCACGACAAGCAAACATCCACACCAAAATATCAATTTGAACAATAAGTTCTTCTCACTTTTCGTGAAAATTATTTAAAACATGGAAAAATACACGTATCCGTGTCTTTCTATCAAAAACTTCCTCTATATTTACAGAGGAACGACGTAATTAAATTGCTTTCTGATTAGGTAGATTCTAAATTATTCTTTTGTAAGGATGAGATGTTTAATATAAAAAAAAAAAAAGGAAAAGAAAGGCAGAAGAACGTTTAAAATCGTTCGATCTACATAAATTGGAATATTTGATGCAACAAGTAGACAAATCCAATATCTAAATTATATTTAAGACAAAATGCGAATATTATTAGTAGAATATTTAATATTTTAGAGTCGCTAAAATGACTA